TTTTTTTATGTATATATATTATTTTTTTATATTTATAATTAAGATGTTTTCAAACTAGATTTCTTGCATCTCCAAACTAATTTTTATCTGGGTTATTTTAAAGGCACACCTCTTACATCAAACTAATATGTTCAAAGAAACTTATGCTTATATATTATATATGAAGTAAAGTATATGTTTAATTATATTTTAATTTGTACTAAAAGTTTATAATATTCAACAAATACATAAGTACATCTACAAATATACATACACTCAGCGAGTTTAATAATAGTAATAAATTTTTAATACCTAAATAGATATTAAGTATTAAAGTTTTATATCTATTAATTTTTAAATTAAATACAAATATAGACAAATATTTCATTCATGTACTCACTTAGTCTACTTATGTACATAAACACAATCACAAATTGTGAACTCAGTTTAAACCACCCAAAGTTTACAATTAAAGGGATAGTAATAGACATTATGAATTTTTCTTTTTCTAATTATAATTTTTTAAACCTTAATAAAATTCAAAATTGTTTATCTATTTCTTTTTTAAAAAAATTAAATTTACTTGATTACCTACTATAATTTTGAAAAATATCCCTTTAATTGAATCAACTAAAAAATTCATAAAAATAAATAAATAAATGCGGGTAATAATTGAAAAAAAATTGGTAAAATATTCATGTAGAATGATATTAATATAGAGTATGATGTGGCATTAATGGGTCCTATTATAGCCAAATTGGAAAAAAGTGATGGTGTTAGCCAAACCGCTAAGCTTTAGCTATAAAAAGTGACGGTGTTAGCCATGGAATGGAAGGAGGGACGAAATCGATCACTTTTTGAATGGTAGAGGGAGGACATGTGAGCGCAAATTGAAGTAGAGGGATGACCTGAGGTGATTTCATAGTAGAAGGGTTAAATTGAACCTTTTTCACAAAGTAGAGGGATGATAGTTGGCTTTAACCCGTTTGATATTTGATTTAAAATTTTGTATATATGACTTTTTAAATTTGGTATCTAATCAAATATTTGACCTATATTTGGTATTTAATCCAACAAATATCAAATAATTTATGGATATATACTTATATGTTTGTTGAATGATATTTTGCTTTAAATATTTTTAAATTAAAATTTAATAAATATTATTTAC